TCTGTTTCCAAGTTCAAAGCTACAGAGTCTGTCAGTTGCTCGCTCTTGTCTCTGGGTATCGGTGGCTGGCTTTGTGCTAAAAAATAGCAGGCATTATGCATTAAGCAAGACTGAATGGGGCTCTGAGCAACCTGATCTCTTGGAAGGTGTCACTGCCCACTGCAGAGAGATTGGAATTAGAGGATCTATAAGTCCCCTTCCAAGCCAAACTATTCTATGAATCTATGACTCACAATTTCCATCAATTTTAGAACTCAGAAGTCATACAGAAAATTCTAATAAAGCATTTTCACAAAACATTACCTAAAAAACAGAAAGCATCAAATTCACAGAAAAATCAACAATAGTTTCATAGTTACAACAGATTTCATTTATGATGTTGCCTTGGGGTTTTTGATTTTTTAATTTTTTGTAGATTTTAGAAGTAGTTGTGTAGTGAATGTAGATTTTAACACAGCTGCATTTTATCCCTTACCCTTAACACAGTAGTTACACATAGTCAACCCTGTCACCCAATTCCCATATCAATCCCCCTAAATTCCACTAGCCTGTTTAGTCTCATTTTCAAGGTAGAATTGTAGAGAACACTCCAAAATCTGTGCAAGAAGATATAGCCATAGACACAACGACCTTCAGGCTCAGAGCTTTGGAAAGCCTCCAAGGACTGCACATGCTCCAAGGAAGACGAAGATGAGGAAGAGGGGGTCCCAAAACTCCCCCAGACTCAATTCCCAAAAGGCGTGTTGGGGGGGCAGAACGGGGCAGAACTGGGGCGGTGGCTGGACAGAGATTGGATGGAAGTCATTATAAAAATTTTAACACCTGTGTTTGAGCACGTACGTGGGCTTGTATTCCTGGAGCCTGGAGGCTCATTAAAACCTCTGCTGCTTATCTTACCTCCTACCTAATTTGGCCTGGAGTCATTTTCCTCCACAGCCTTTTAGGCAACATGACAAATGAAGACCCCACATTCAACAACTCTGAGTAAACTTTCAAGTGATTAAGATAAAGAAATATCATTACATGCTTTCCAGAATCATGTATTTGTCTTGAAAGGTAAGCTGTTCCATAAAAGCCTTGTCATCCTTGGCAGTGCTTTCCATATTTTCACCTGTCATCATAACAAACCTGTCACCAACAGTTTTGTGCAGCTTCACTGATCCTTTTAATCAGATTATGTGCATCACTACATTTATTAAACAGGAATAACTGACTACATCTTTGACTTGCAAAGAAATGGAAAACGGAAGCTGGAAACATCTAAGTATAACCTAAACTCCCTGTTTATTTCTTTCTTTTCATGCACATGGCACTAATATGCATTGTGGAAATAGTGCCTCACACTACTAAAAAGGTCTTCACTAAGGCAAAAAATCTCAATTTAGAGAACATTCTCTAAAAATAATTCTCAGGAGTTTTTTTCATTTGTGTTTTGTTGCATTAAAAAAAAAACAAAACAAAACATTTTGGGTACTGTTCTTCATTATGTCATTCTCAAAATAAACAGTACAATACAGAACACTTCACCCCCTAAGGGAAAACGACAGCAACTGAGACTCGCATTATCATAAGTTTCCAAACAACTAATAAAGGAAAAATGCAATTCACCTTACATCCACTGAAATGGAAGCAGTCATTGTCTACCACAGCAAGTCTAACTTTTAGCACGGCATGGATATTTTACATATAAAAATCTGTAGTATAACAAAAGAGCATAACAGCATAAAGTAAGAGCTAGGCTTCCCAAATACCAGTAATTCTGGGTAGGTTATTCATGCCTTTTTGCATCTGTGCACACAAAA